TTTTTTTTTTTTTGGATAACTCTAACTATAATTGATAGGAAAATTAGCACAAGTAACACAAAAAAAATTTAAATATAAAAACTAACCATTTCTCTCCCTATCTCTCTCTACCCAAAATCCCTACTTTTTAATTTCCTTTTTTTTATTCAACAAAAAAGCCCTAATTGATAATTGTTGTATATGTAAATATATATAATCGCGTCAATTCCCAAATTGTCTTGTCGCTAATTCTTCCGATAATTTGGATCGATGGCAGGTATAAGGACAGGTATGATGAAGATGGAGGGAGTGTGGAGGCGACAGGGCAAAGTGGATGAGGAGATATTGATTTATACCATAGTACCAGAGGAACGGGCTCCTTATATATCGAAATTATTAGGATTTTACTGTTTGCTTCAATCTCATCTCATCGTGGTTTAGTATGGTTTTAGTTGTATTGACTAATTGAATTTGACAGGCCAGAGAACTAGCTAGGTGTCGAAAATCAACATCATCAACTTTTGTGTTTTTTTTTTTAATTATAAGGTTTTGTTGTCTTGCAGTTAATGGAAAGTCTAACAGTTCTGGTTGTTGAGATTTGGTCAGAAGATAGTGTGATTCACTGCTAAAAGCAACAAAACTTTTGCAGAGCCTGGTTTCGAGTGATTTGTGATTTATCTTATTAAGTATATAAGAGAACCTCCATTCTCATTCTCATTCTCATGGAGAGAACTTGATTATATAGTTAGTTTTTAACAAATATAGTTTGCTTTTTTATGTAGTATTTGCTCCTCATTACGCTGCTGTTATACAATTTGGTGTTCTTCCTCGTGTGGTGACGTTTCTTTCCAGGGATGACTTTCCCGAACTTCAGGTGAGTGACATATGCATCTCGTTTTCATCAATAATTCATCTTTTAGTTTTCAGGTTTGAAACATATATTTTCTGCTTGTGTTTAGTTTATGGCAGCTTGGGTGCTCACCAATATTGCTTCAGGGACATCAGAGGAAACAAAAGCCATAGTGAAAAGTGGTGTTGTCCCGATATTTATCAAACTTCTCAGCTCTGCTAGTGAGGATGTCCGCCAAGTGGTATATTTCTAAATCACCACTCTCATCTGTTTTATTATCTTTCTTGTCTTGTAGCTCAGTATAAAGTGTAAATTCAATGAGTCTGATATGTGTGTTTTACCCCTAAATATAGGCGACTTGGGCATTGGGAAATGTTGCTGGAGACTCACCAAAATACCGCATGATCCCTCTTCGGTCTCAATACAATGAGCATACAAAGCTTCTAGTGCTAAGACACACTCAGAAGCCACAACTTTCATTTGAACAGGTTTACGTATTATACACACTAAATAAAACAATTTTTGTAACATGTTTCTGAATTGTCCTTTCTTTACATTTCTGAGCAGGCAAAAGCAGCTCTACCGATTCTTGAGTGCCTTGTGCAATCAACGGATGAAGAGATTCTTGAGCGCCTTGTGCAATCAACGGATGAAGAGGTTCTCACATATGCATGTTCGGCTCTGTCATACCTCACTTTTAATTCAAACAACAAAATACAGGCAGTTATCGATGCAGGCGTCATCCCTCACCTCATCAAGCTCTTATCGTAAGTATCTGATTGCGATTTTAATTTTTTATGGGGAGCAATATTGCATGATTATGTTATCTGAATTGCGTGCTTCCTACTCATTTTTTAGTCATTCGTCGCCATCAGTGCTGACTTTCACTCTTCGTACCATTGGAAATATTGTAACCGGTGATGATGAACAGACTCAGGTGCATATAATACATTTCACAATTAGACTTGGAACTTTTTCAGAAAATGGTCGTTTAACTTATTCTCTCAACAGGCGGTTCTCGACCATCAAGTGCTTCCTCGTCTCTTGAACCTTATAACAAACAATTACGAGAGAAAAATCAAGAAGGAAGCTTGCTGGATTATCTCAAACATCACAGCTGGGAATTCAAACTAGATACAAGTGAGTACTTTTATTTACATACCACATTTAAACGATTTTGTGAAGTTTCTTGTGTCTGATTTTAGTTAAACCTGGATGTGTAGGCAGTGATTGAAGCAGATATAATTCAGTCTCTTGTTTGGGTACTTCAAACCTTAGAATTCGAAGAAGTAAAAAAAGAAGCTGCTTGGGGAATCTCAAATGCTATTTGTGGTGGCACTTATGATCAAATCAGGTAAAACCCAATTAAAAAAACTAAAGCTATGTCTTTACATTAAAAAAAGGAAAGATCAAATCTAAACCATGTGTTTTGTTTTTCTCAGGTTTATGGTGAGCCAAGGCTGTATCAAACCAATATGCTATCTTCTTGCATGCCCTGATCCAATTATCATAACGGCTTGCTTAGAAACGTTAGAGAACATTCTCGTGGTTGGAGAAGGAGAGAAGAACTTGGGTCATACAGGAGATGGTAACCTCTACGCTTCAATGATAGATGAAGCAGAAGGACTTGAAAAGATTGTGAATCTTCAAAGTCATGACAACAACGAAATATACCAAAAAGCCGCGAAAATCCACGAAACGTTTTGGACTGAAGAGTGAAGACAATGACGAAGAATGCAACGATGAAAATGACGCTCCGTTTGGGTTTGTTTTGATATGAAGAAATCATTTGTTTAGCTACTACTACTTTTAAACAGTAAACCTTATGTTAGTGCCACTTCTATATCGTGCTTTAGCTAACTACGCCATAAATGTTGATTGACTTAATAATTAGGTAAATCATTTTGACCCGCAATTTTTAGAAAACAGAGTAGCTAGTGAAAATACACTTTGTTGGCTTTTGATATGGCTTATATATAAGGATATATGGATTAGTAAATAATTAAGAAGTTTATTATTATCATGGATTCATGGTCATATAGTTTCTTTATGCGAGAAACTTGGGTTTTAATAAGGTTTAAGCTCAATATTTAAACAAAGAAAAATCAATGCTACCATTGAATAATTTTGATGGGTAGTCAAATTTTAATTACTTTCTTCTACAAATAGTCAATACCAAAAAAATATGCATTTTAATCATTTTATTATATGTAGAAGATGCACATGTACGTGAACAAACGCAAAGAAGAGGTTATTTCTGATTAATTAAAGAATTTGGTTAATAACCAAAAAAAATGTATCATATAAAATCTTACCATTTGTCTAGAGAGAAAGAAATCGAGAGAGAAAAATGTTGATTTTGGTTACTCAAGGGCTCTCAACGTTAGGTACTTAGGTTTACAACAAATGAACATATCACTTTTTTACCAAAAAAAACAGTGGGCTTCCCTTTTATTCAAGCCCATTAAAACCCAAGGGTACAATTGCTATTTTGATAAGTTCATACTTCACAGTCTCCAATTTCAATTAGGGTTCGTATTTTCTTCCCCTTTCTGGTAACTCGATCAAGTCCCAGGAAAAATCCGGCTTCTGGAGTTTGTAGCTTGAAGAATCTCGCGGCAATGAAGAAATTTAGTCAGAGAGATGAGCATGAGACTGATAAAACGAATAGCTCCAAGTCGACGGAGACGAATAGGAAGAAGAACATGAAGAGATTAGGAGGCGGTGGTCTTTCTCTCCAAACTTTTGCTAATTTGAAATCGTAAAACGGTCGCTATAACCCTGCTTTGATCAGTAAGAGATTCTTCTCTTCTAATTCAGTTCAAAAAAATTTCCATTTACTGTTGAAGGATTAGGAAGATGTTGTTCTCAGCTGGACTGTAACTGGGTTTGTCTCTGTGATGCGTGTACGATGCTTAGAAGAAAGTAGAAGATTCAAATTAGTTTTTGACTATGTTTCCTTTGGTGTTACTGTTAGGAATCAGAAGAAAGCTATATTTTGAGTTACTTAAAGTGGTGTACTAAGATTGAATGAGTTTTCTTTTGCACTGTTCTCTAACTTCTCCTTGTTGATTTATCTGTTCAGAAAAGAAAAAAGAGTTCTACAAGAATGCAAAGTATGTGAGCAAGTTTAGAAAGTCGGTGAAGCAGCATAACTTGTATGATAAGAATGAGACTGGAGAGAGTAGTAAGGTAGAAGATGATGATAAGGAGAGAAGGTTAAATCTAACAAGAGAATTAGTATGGAAGAGGTGTACATGCAGAAACGAGAGGAGATGGAGAAAGTCAGGAAGGAGAGAGAGGCGACGATAAAGGCTAAAAAGGAAGCGAAAGAAGAGGCCGAAGCTCGGAGGAAAATAGCCCGAGGGAATATGATGAGAAAGACTCGACATGGTCAACCTGTAATGAAATACAGAATAGAGCATCTTCTCGAATCAATCAAGAAATCTGCTGGAAACGATGGAAGCAGAACCGCATGACGAGCTTTCAACTCGGATACACTGGTCTAGTTCCTGCCAAAGATGTTACTACTGGTTCGTATTGCTGNTTGTGATGGTTTGAGGTAACATTTGTAGTTTTCGGCTAGGCTTTGCAAGTACTATATTACCACATTGTTTTGCTTTCTGTTTATCTCATGATTTTGGCTGTTTCGTTACAAAACTAATGAATTTTCTCAATCTCATAAAAGTGAGTTTTTAGTACAAATTATTCCAAACTTTAGTACAAATTATTCCAAACTTTAGTACAAAGACAAAAAGTTTTGCTCAACAGAGTACAAGTTATCACTGGTGATTCTAACATCTTAGTGGAAACANTATGAAAGAGAACAAATGGAAGGTGAATATNCCACAACAATGCCTGCATAACTGAAAATGCAAAGGAAAAAAATGACTGAAGCAGCAAGTTTACTTAATGGCTAGATTTGAAANTCCCATCTCGGGATTCTTNTGAATTGTCCACACAAACTCATCTCNGTCCTACGAGTGTTCGGTATATGTATATCCTTTCAATTGGAGAGCTCTCAGGTCTTGACTCTGGAGGGTACATTTCATCAATGACTTCGACATTGAGCTTTGGCAATTTCTGACNGAGAAGCTTGCAAGCACCAAAGCTTANAAAGCAAGACGACATCCAAAGGGATCGCATGGTTTCAAGTTTCGAAGCGTGCTCCAGTAGTGCAGTGTCTCCAAAAGTANAATCTCTTATCTCAANCTTCTTTAAACCCTCACAGCCTGACAACAAGTGATGAAGCATCAAATCACTGTCCCCAGCAANCGCTATAGATTAGATAGCATCCGAACCTTCTTGGCGTGTTTCCCAATGTATTCAAAGGCCTTGTCAGTGAGGAGACCAGAGACAGAGAGCCTTCGAAGATCCTTGCATCCCTCAACTATGGCTCTGAATCCTTNATCAAGCGNCTCACGTGTTATGTGATCCNGAGCAAATGGCTCTATTACACAGAGACGGAAGCACTTGATGTTGGGACGGTATCTTGATATGGTAATCAAAGCTGCGTTTGTAAACTNGACACAAAAGTAGAGAATNGANTCCAGCTTTCGACAACTTTTAGANACAGTNACCAGAATAAAGAGCTGGTAGATACTCAGGGATAACATNCCAAAGACCAGATAAGCTCTTGAGGTTNTTACACTCTGAAAAAGCTTTTGATAACTTTGAAAACACTTNTTGATCNAATTCAGCTAAAACTTGTTAAAAGATCGATTAATGAATATCCTATAAAAAAAATGATTACTAGATCCCAAAACGCTTTACAATCGGCTCAATATTTGCCAAAAAAATGTATGTAAGCGAATAACCAAATTCAAACGACTTTACTTCTTTTCCCTGCGTTCTCCTCCTCGGCCATAGCATTTTCTTCAGCTCTTCTTCTTTTCCCATCTTGTTGAATTGCGTTCTCCTCCTGGGCCATAGCGTTTTCTTCAGCTTGAACTCTTTCATTTTCTTCAGCGTTCACCTCCAAGGCCATAGCATTTTCTTCTGCGTTCGCCTCAAGGGCCATAGCGTTTTCTTCAACTTGAACTCCTTCGTTTTCTTCTGCGTTCTCCTCCTGGGCCATAGCGTTTTCTACCGCGTCGACTTGAACTGGGCCCTCCTGTTGACCATCCCCAATCGCGTCGTTCACTTGATCACCCCCAATCGCGTCGTTCACTTGAACTGCGTGCTCTTGACCACCCCCAATCGCGTTTGCTCCAGCGTTCACTTCACCACCCCCAATCGCGTTTGC